ATTACTTTTATATTTTTTATATTTTTTATAATATAAAGTATTAAAATTAATAAAGATATACTTAAAGTTATATAAGTAATATAGATTTTATATAATTTTAAGATTAAGGAAAGTAGCCTTTAACTATATATAATATTTATAGATATAATAAATATATATATATTTAAATATAGTAAAACTAAAGGGTTAATAAGGAACTTATTACTTAAAACTAAAAGCTATAGAGAATAGAAAATAGATATACTTACTGTTAAATATTATAATAAAAGAGATAGAAAGTTAAGGCAGTATTAATAAATAAAAGGTTAATTAAAGACTAAAATAAAAGGGATATAGACTATAAATAAGAAGTAAGGATAAAAGGTATATAAGTTAAAGAGGTTATATAAAATAAAAAGAAAAAGAAAAAAAAGAAAAGCTTAAATTAAAAAGAGAATTAAATACTTATAATTAAAGTAAAAATAAAAGCCTAAAAAAGCCTAAAGAAATTAAAGGTATAGCCTATAATTTAAAGGCTTAATATATATATATTTTTTAAAAGCATTTTAATAAGGCTATAAGAAATAGTTTAATAATTTATAAAGGGAAAATACTATATAATAACCTTTTATTACTATAATATCTAACTTTATTATTAAAAGCTAATAAAAGTATTTATAAAATAGAGAGATATTAATAACTTTATAAACCTATTATAATTATATTTAATTAAAAATAGTTACTTAAAAAAGGGAAGATAATTATAATAATAGTTTAATAATAAAATTAATTAATTCCCTTAATATATAACTTTAAGACCCTTTTAAATTTACTATAAAAATCCCTTAAATAGGAATTTTACTTCCTTAAGCTTTAATTAATATAATACTATTATGCCTATTTAGCTATTATTAACTTACTATAATATTAACTTTATAGAAAGTAATATCTAAAGGGGTCTTAAAGAAGCTAGATTTATATAATAGTTAGGTCTAATTGTATTAAATTAAGCTATACTTAAGTTTATTATTAATAGATTATATAAAGCGTAATACTAAGTGGTTATTAAAGTGTTATATCTCTTAATAGTAAATTTAATATATATTAGGCTTAATTAATATAAAGAAGTTTTATTAATAATTAATAAGCTAAAATCTATAAAAATGTAAATAAGTATAGGTTATATATTTAAGTATTACTTATTTATATTTTTCCTTAACTTATATTCCTTATACTGTATTATCTTATAACCTAATTCAATCTATTACTAACCTGCCAAGCTAGCCTTAGTCTGCTAATATTTACAGTTTTTCCCCTAACGCTAAAACATTTACACCATTAATTCAACCACTGCAACTATATATTTTAACTTTATAAATTACTCCTAATATAGGCCATTACTGCCGCCTAATATAATTTTAGCAATAAAGGCCTATTACTCTATTAATAGGTCTTAATCCTCTTTTAGGCAATTAATAAGGTCTTTTAAGGTATATATCTACCTTTTAATATAGAGAATAATAAATATATTTTTAGATATATTATAGAGCTTTACTTAATACTTAAAGATTATAAGATTAACTTATTATATTAGCAGTAATCTATTAATATATAGTAATTATTTACTTATAATTTTCTATTATTAAATAAAGGTATATAAATTTAAGATATCTTTAATATTAAGATTATTAATATTAATTAAAGAACTGGTTATATAGTAATTAGCTATTATACTTAAATAGTTATAGCTAGGTTAGCTATTATTAATATTAATTATATAATAGTATATTTTATAATAAAATTTTTAGTTTTTTAATTATTATAATTTAATCCTTTAAGGTTAGATTTTTAGTAGTAATTACCTTAATAAGGTAATAATAAAAAAGGCATTTAGCCTATTAGGGCTAGAAGAAATATCTTTTTTATATTTATAAATTAAGGCTACTTATTTAGTTAAATTATAAGGTTTATAGTAGTAATTATATAACCTTAAGACTTATTATTAAGGTTATTATATTTTTTAATATAGTATATAATGCCTTATATATATTATACTAAAAAATAAATATTTTATTATATTATTTTATTTAAAACCTTAACTGGCTATGCCTTATATATTACTATAAGGATATTTTGACTTTTTAATAGGTTATATATTACTAGCTTATAAGGTATTTAATAGTACTTTCTTTAAGGATTAAAATATTAACCTTTTAATTTTAAATTAATATTATAGTATTTTAGTTTTATTTTAACTAATTGTAATAAAAGGACTAAAAAGCATTTATTTAATTTATTTTTAATTAATTATAATAGTAGGGAAATTTATAAAGTATATATAATATAACTATAAGGGTTGTAATAATTTATACCTTTTAACCTAAAAACTATAATCTTAAAGCTTAATATATAGTTATAGACCTTAGTACCTCTTAAGAAGGCTACTTAACTATTAATATTATAGGCTTTAAAGACCCTAAAGATAGTAATTAAGGCCTAATTTTAATTTAAATACTTTAAAAAGTAAATTAAAAGGCATTATAATAGCTCCCTAAAGTCTATTATTAAAGCTTTAAAGTTAACTATTAAGGCAATAAAGGTAATTATATTTAAAGTTATTTTATTAAGGATTAAGCTTTATAATCTTTAAGATATAAATAAGATATTAAGCTAATATTATAAAGTAAAAAGAATTAAATTATAGAAAAAAAGGATTATAATTATATAGAAAGTATTATAAGTAATTAATTAAATAAATATTAATATATAAGTAATAGCTAAATTATTAAGAAGTAGTAATTAAGGAAGGTTAAAGTAATTAAGTAATTAGCGCTATAGTATATATAGTAAAGGCAGTTATAATATAAAGACTTATTAGGTAGTTTTTAAGTTATTTAAAAAGGAATTTAATAAGTAAAAGCTAGCCTTTTTAAACTATAACTTAAGCTATTAAGCTATAATTTAAAAAGATTAAAGAAAGTAATTAATATACTTATCTAGTTGGCATACTTATTAACTATATTATATATATAGTTATTTAATATTAAATAAAAGCTAGCTTAATACCTATTAATATAATAACTTTATATTAATAAACTTATTTTATATTATTTAATTATAAATAGATATAATACCTTATAATACTTAATATTTAATTCTATATAACTTATAAGTATAAAACTAATTTAAATTAATTTTTTATTAAAAACTATAACTATTATAGTTATTAAAGCTAAGGCTAAATACCTTTAAGCTATACTTAAGGCAAGCTTTAGCCTCTATATATAAAGCGGTAATAATTTATTATTAATAGTCTTCTTTTAAAATAAAACATACTAAATATATTATATCTAAGGACAACTATAGACTCTATGATCTCTGTTCTATTTGCAATAAATGGCAAAAGGGGCAAAAGGCACATTCCATCTGCTACTTCGCCCTTATAAAACACAAGTGGCACTCCATAATAATCCTTTTCGCTACCTTAAACCAATCCCGGCCAACTATAACCACTCACAGAACTATAATGCCGTCTCGAACAACAATTGCCTCATGGCCTGGCCTCCACTGTCCACCATTGGATCAGAGCCAGCTTACCGAATATCGGTCCATTGTTCACTCATACAACAAAGTCGCGAGCTGGCGACCACAGCGATCCATGTACCTATGACATTCGGTCCAACCAATCTTTTCAAAAGGGTAATCGAGGTTATTCCCTTCTGATTCGTCCCGCCCCTCAACGGGATCATCGTCCTCGCCATCATCAGGTTGAAGCATCCGAAACAAAACCACATCAAGGTTAGTTCCATCCAGACAACTGAAGTCAGGCTTGAGACCATTGAACAAGAAGCATGGATTGCATTTGATGGGGCGAGGATGATCCTCGTCAAGCATATAGAACTTCTTACCAGGAGGATCAATATAATCTCCGCGATCACGGCGATCAAGACAGATCAGTTCCAACTCAAGGGTTCCAGGGTCTCGTCGGGGTCTGTCATCCCAACGCAACTCCCAGTGGTGGCAGGCTTTATTGGCAGGACATCCCTCAGCGTAGGGGTGGGCGAGCATAATGACAGAAATCTCAGGACGCAAGGTGTTGCATAAGCGTTGTGTGCCAATCCCCTGGAGGAAGTCTCGGGAGAAGGACTCATTGGGCTTCTCAGATAGCCACTGGTCCGGCTTGAATCTGGGGTCCTGGCTCGGGCCTCGGTCAAGCACAACTAACGGGGTGTCTCGAAGTGACAGCTTTGAAGGTTCTTGGGGTGAGGACGTGATAATTTCCACGTCGTCGTCATCGGAGGTAAGACTCGGAGAGCCTGGACGCTCAGGGAAGATCTCCATCGTCTCACCATCGAAGTCAAATGCAATTTGTCGGTCATCGTCGATATGGTTATTGCCGTTCTCGTGGTTGTCGTCATAGTCGTCACCCCTAGAAGGAAGAGTCGGATCGACGGTATCAGCATTCACAACGTCTCCATTCTCTCCGGCGAGCTGACGATAAACCGCGATAGTGTCATCGATTTCTGCCAACTCTTCCAATAAGAAATGACGTCGGGTATTTAAGTCATCCATAGTGAGTCAGTTGTATGACGAGTTTGTAAAAAGGTTTGTGCAAGTTGTTTCTTTCTGAAAGGAAGTTCCGTGTCTAGCGTATGGACAGATATGTTGCATAGAGAGTTTGAGAAGAAACATAGGGCCGATTGAAAATAATTAAATACCAGGATTAAAATTACCACTGTCATCCGGGGAATGGCATTGCTCTTGTCTGTGCAGTGAACCTGACGCTTTGAGGTTGTCAGAGCCACTGGTAAGCTATAGCCACATGGTAACAAAGAATGCAGAGCTGAACAATTGATACCGTACATTGTTGCCTGAACAGCTGCTGAACAGCTGCAAGAACATAGACAGCATATTCCCGTTGCCAAGTTGGGAACAATATGCACGGATGAAAGGGCCTTGCTAGGAACGACAGAACAAATCGAAAGAGAATGTAAATATGATACAGTAGTCTAGGTCAGGGACTAAAAGGTTTGTCCGGTGACAAGGGTCTCGTAGACTAGACCTTCGAAAACAGATCGCTTTATCGCAGCACCAAAACTGTTCTTTGTCAGCTACCTTAGAACACTGGAACCTAACGAACTTACCCGTGACATTTCGCAGCCTTCATCAACTTGGCCGCAAGACTACCCAAGCTGCTTGTGCTAAACCCACCAAAGTTTGGCCGACATCGAATATCATTCCAGGCCTGGATTGGCGTCATCTCATCCTCATTCGATAGGTCAGGCGCCAGTGTCAAAAGCCGCTCTAGCATAGACGATGGAGTATTTCCAAAACTGGGGGATGAGGGGAGACGTGGGTTATTTGTGTGTGATGTATCGCCACAGGCTGCCATGAGCTGAGCCGTCGCAGTCAGGGCATGGTTACCAGGCTCGTCGGGCTTCTTGGCATCGCCGTGGAGATGACCCAGACAAGGCTCTTCAATTCTAGTATGTGTCAGCAGAGACTCGGCGATGAGTGTTGGAGGGACATACTTTAGAACAAACTCCATGCCTGCAATGATCTGATCCACTTCACCCACGCGCGAATGGCTTGAGTACCCTTGGTTAAACAAGACAGGAGCGCCATGGCCTTCGGATGGGTCAGAAAAATCTCCGAACGAAGACGGTGATATCAGTTGTGGAGAAGGTACAATGTCCACCGATTGGTAGCCCGGGTCACCAAGGTACATCGGCGAGGCGCCGCTTGACGACCCAGTGGTTCTAGATGGAGTAGCGTAGTCATTGATCGGGTAGTTGATCTCTCTGAACCCAGTATCGGTGGAATTGGGACCTAGAGACAGTTGCTGTAGCGCATTTTGGAGACCAGCACGGAGTTGTTCGCATTCTCGCGCAAGTTCCGCTTCCCGGGATCGGGACTTGGCTAGCTCTTCTTCCAACGTCCTGGCGTACTTATCCTTTCGGCCACGGTAGGATCTAAAAGAGTGGGGTGTTAAAATTGGTTATATAAGACAGCGTCCCTGAAGTTTCTTACTGTTGAGCACGTCGTAATTGGGCTCTCCGCCTCTCTACTGGATTTTCCTTGGGCTCTTGATATTCTTCAGTACATTGTCCAAACAAGGATCAGCAAAAACTCAAACTGACCCCCAGGGTTGAAAATTCGGAAGATTCTATCAGTCATTGTGAGATTGGTGGGAGACAGGAGGGAACGCGAAAAAGGTAAAAATGATGAAAGATCAATAAAGATAAAGAGAACAACAACTCCAGTTCAGCTGCTTCATTCTTGTTTCTTATCCAAGATTAGTCAACGGGTAAGCATTGAGCCTATTGGTTGTGGTGAGCGCTAGCTGAGTGAGACCCTTGTATCAGGGGCGTTTTGGCGTCGTCCCCTCATTTTGGGGCACCGAGGATGAGAATATCAGAATTTCCTAATGGGGAAAGGTTCGTCTTACTCATGTCAGCCCTGACACGCAGGGGGATAAGCGAAAAGGCTGTGATATCATGTCTCAACGAGAATAAGTGGTCAAGAAAGACTATTCCTATCTGCAAGGATAATTAATAGCATCATTGGCGAGCCCAATAAGTTTGTTTCCACAAATTTGAACTTGGTCACATCAAGTATCATTAACCTTGTACGATAAGGTTATCCATGCCCGTGCACCCATTTTCATCCCTGTTATCATGTTCCTTACGCGCCAACAAAAGGTCTCTCTTTTATATCACTGAGTTGTAATTATCTACACACTAAATGGTCAAATATTGGCAATGAGGTTAATTGCTTTTTTCCTTCAAAAGATGCTACGGCGCTTCTAAAATGGAAATTGTGATTATGGAGTTTCGAAGCACAGATCTGACTTCTAAACAGGGGCCATAAGACCCCGGTTTCACTTTAGCCGGCAGCACGGCAACCAAGTCGCATTATGTTGTTTCCGAACTGTGGATGGTTCTTCAGCATCGTTTCACATTTTAAGCAAGTGGGACATTCGATTTGGCCGTTTATGTTGCAGTGAAATTGCTGCCTTTCCTAATGAGGAGATTCAGATTACTTCGATGTCGAGACTTATCCCTGGAAGTGAATTATATGGAGATATTGAGTCAGGACGAGAGATTGTTATAAAGAACATCGAGACGCGTTCAATAAACTCGATATCTTCATTCAATCACTCAAACATTCTTCCCTCATTCATTTTCTGCAGCAGGCCTGCTTTTTAATACTTTTCTTTCCTTCTACACTCTCTTACCAACTTCACCACCAACAGATCAAACAACATGTTCTCTTCCGGATCATTTCTCTCAGCTTTACTCTGGCTTGCTCAGGAAGCTACCAGCCACCCAGCATGCAAGCCCGGAATGAACAGCAACGCTATGACAGGCAAGGCGATCTATGTTCTCACTAACGAGAAGGCGAACGGTGTCCTTGCGATCCCAATTGGCCAGGACGGTACACTATCCAAGGGCAAGGTTACCATGACCGGCGGTGCAGGCTCTGTAGCTGTTGACGCTGAGGGCAAGCCCGCTACGCCTGATGCTTTGATTAGCCAGTCTGCTCTGACGATTGCAGGCAACGTAAGTCTAAACTTCCTCATAGATACTATGGATCATTTGTTGACTCTAGTCTAGAATATCTTCGCTGTCAACGCTGGCTCCAACACTCTCAGCATGCTTAGAGTCTCCCGATCCGATCCCACGAAACTACAGATGGTCGGAAAACCGGTCCAAGTCCCTGGCGAGTTCCCCAACACCGTCACTGCTTCTGCCAAGAATGGAGTTGTTTGTGTTGGCTCAACTGGTGCCAAGGCCGGCGTTTCTTGCAGCAGCTTCTCGCGACAAGGACTCGGTGCCATGGACGAACTACGAACGATTGATCTCGGTCAAACAACACCTCCTGCCGGACCTACAAACACACTTTCGCAAGTACTCTTCTCAGAGGATGAGTCCATGCTGTTCACTATGGTCAAGGGCGACCCTGCTGTGAACAACACTGGCTTTATCTCCGTCGCAAATGTCGAGATGAACAACGGAGTCGCAGCTGTTAGCAAGCAGGATGCCCGCAGTTCACCTGAAGGAACAGCTGTGCTCTTTGGCTCGCAGGTGATCCCCGGAACATCAAAGGTCTTCGCTACAGATGCTTCCTTCGGCGCAGCCATTCTCGATGTCGACCCCAATAACTGCGAAGCCACCACCGCCGCCAAGGGAGCAGTCGAAGGCCAGACCGCCACGTGCTGGGTCGCCATTTCTCCCGCTACCAAGTCTGCTTTCGTGACAGATGTCGGCCGCAACCGAGTTGTCGAGATGAGCCTCGAGGATGCGAGCGTTGTATCTGAGCTTGATTTGATTTGCAACGGTGACCCTGGCCTGATCGACCTCGCTGCTTCTGGCAACTTCCTTTATGCTCTTTCACCTGGCAATGGTACTACTCAGGCTGCTGTCACAGTTCTCGATGTCTCGGGTGGATCTGGATCGGCCAAGATGGTGCAGCATTTTGAGTTGGCTGGTATGGCCAGCAACACTGCCATGGGAATGAAGGTCATGTAATCATTGGAAAAGAGCAAATGGCGGTTGGTAGGATCTGGCGTTCAGACTATGTACTAGGATAATACAAGATTTTCTCTTTGGCTTCGTTCCCTTACTAGATTCGCCCCATGTTACAAATACTTTTGGCTCTTGGTCAACAAGGAGTCCGTTGTTTACGCCTGGAGCTCTACCACTGGTCCAATTATCTTTGGGAGGATGTTGGGAGCTCTTCATTTGTCCTTTCATATTTGACTTTCTCACCCTCGAGCTACCTTTCCCTTCGCTGGCTTTAAAGTTAAACTTCCGGGAACGAACACCCATCAAGGTTCTCTCTACCGATTTAAGCTCTCAGCCACAAGTTCTAACTATAAATAACTAATCTAGCTCGCGATGGGGCCACGAGTATTGCTTTTCTTTCTTAACACGATAACCTCGAAGCAAAAATTCCACGAGACTCATCTTCAGGCGCTCTGTCTACTTGTTCTACTGTCCACTCCCCCAATCTCTACTACTTATTCCTTGTACTGTCGACTATGAGATACGACTCTAGATTCCACAGCTGCACAATTTGCGGCATCGCGCTTAGACGATCAGAGGGTTGGAAGACTGATGTCGTCGCATTATCTGGCCCGCACTGGCCTCAGCTACTCGAGTCACCTTCATCTCTAAGGGTTAAAGATGATCAAGTTTCTCGCCACGCCACGAAACCAGACTACCAACATCCTTCCCTTATTTTACTTCCCCAGGAGCAGAAGATCTATCCTCATGCTACCTACGAATTGAAGAAGAAGTCTGATAAACCTTCAGAATGGGAGGGAATCATGTTTGTTGGGCTACATGCGGCTTGCGAAGACCTTGCCAATCGGGTCATGAAGAAATCTTATAAGGCCAGGTTAAGGTCTGTCGGGGACCTATGGCTGACCCTCGAGCGCCGTTGTGCTAGGCATATGTACTGGAACCGTATTTCTAACAGCCACTTCACCCCTAAAGTACCCGAAAACAAGCCCGGCCTGCCGTTTTCAGTTGGCCTTGGACGATATTTTGTTCCGTCTCGAAGTATTCAACTATATGGATACTATGAGGATAGTTGGGTAAGTCTGATCTTCACTTTCTAACAAGCCTAAATTTATTTGCTGAACTTCGATGCATAGTGGAATGAGGACCCCGTCAGCATTCCGAACCTGACCACCCTACTGATCGCAAACTTGAAGCCCGAAAAAGACGTTTCTGGCAAATTGCCTAAAACCCTCACTGGGTTCCAGAAACGCCTTGAATGTCTCCCGCGAGAATTGAAGGACCTTATTTACTCGTTCCTCCATAATGATCATCTCCCCTTGGATTGTACCTATATCATGCCTCAATCTATGTGGAAGCAGGTATTCTTTCAAGTCCCCTTCCTTTGGGACCTTGATATGAAAGAGATTGAAGATAAGACTGGCGCAGGAGATTTGAACGACCAAAACTGGGATTGGGAGAAGATTACAAGACAGGTCGTGACCCCACCAGAAATCCCACGACAAGACAGTATTGGCGGTGGTGGTGGTGCCTGGAGTTTTTACAAGGTTGGCCTCAGTGTCCCCGGTGGCTTCACCAATCGGCGTCGAATCTGGCAGATACTTGAAGAAATGTATCCCAACGACGTACGCCACTAGACTAGTGCTGAACTACTCATCAAGAAATCATGAAGGTATTGGAAGAGATATATCCGAATGGTATCAACCATGGATGCTGAATATTATGAGGAGGAGAAACAGCTTGCAAATGAATCTTGGGATACTCTGAGGTGCTAGGCCGTACTGGCCATGGTAATTATAAAATCAGCCAGCTCAACTCCTAACATCCAAACATTGGCAGGAATACACAGAATTAGTTAAACATCAAGTTATAGAACTACTTCACCACCTTTTCAGTTCCTAGAATGCTTCGCTACCTTTATTCCGCTGATCCCGTTCTTCTAATCCAGCTGATAGAGCGGGTCAAGCTTAGCTGACTTCTGAAGAAAGACGTATCTATTGACAAACCAAGGCAACCATTGTCGAAGCTGATACGTGACGTGGCGTCTTGTTGGAACTCCAAAGATGTAGTCTAGCTCTTCCAATGTACGTTGCCTGTGGTGCTCCGGTCAGTCACAGAGATATTCAATCAACCCACTATTCACTTACTTGGTCTCTGGGATAATTAAGAATATCACAATAAACGCAACAACATTGAGACCTGCGTAGAAGCCGAACGCCCCAGTTGGCCCGAGACGATCAAGAAGGGAAGGGAACGTCAAGGTCAAAGCACTTCCAACGGCGTTGTTGACGCAGATAGTGAAGGCTGAACCAATTTCTCGATGCGACAGTGGAAATGCTTCGGAGAAATAGATAGAAGGTAGGGGTCCGATGCCTAAAGAGTCAGCTTCTGATAGAGTGGTGATAGAAAACTCAACTGACCAGGTCCATACATGGCAGTGAACAGGTAAATGAAGAAAGCTATAAGCGGTACTCTGGCACTCGAATCCTTGTCGATCTGAAAACTGAATCCTGCCGCCAGCAAACACCACGCCATGTTGGGGAAGGTAACCAGCAGCAGATTTCGACGACCAAAGGTGTCAACCATGTAAACAGCAGGGAAGGCAAAAATAAACATGACGAGGCCAAATCCCATGGAAGCGAGAAGACAGTC